TTCTGCCCACAGAAAGAGTAGGGCCTGTAATGGTATTTTAATAAAAAGAGTATCTTTTTAAAATAGCCCCTTGCTTATCGTGTATCACAAAGAAGCCTACTAAAACCCCATTCTTCAGTCATCTGTGTACATGAGTGGATTCCCAGAGCAAAGGAGGACCCCTCAGGATTTCCGCTTCTGGCTGCAGAATCCCAGTGCATGTCTCTCCAGGATGTGTGTTTCTGGCTGCAGAATCCCACAACATGTCTCTCCAGGCTGCTGAGCTCTGTATCACAGCCTTTCCCCAGAGATGGCAGTTTAAATGACACCAGGACAGTGATGGCTCCATCTGGGAGACAGGTGTATTCAGAATATTTTTGGGTGTACCCTCTCCTTCCAGCTTCTCATTTTTCCTGTCCCTCCTTGACTGCTCAGAGGTAGAAAGGCCTTCATGTTGTAATTCTGGATGGTTTTAATTTTAAAATAAAATATTAAAGATTCTGGGCATTTTTAGATAAACAGTCTGGCTTTTGTTCTGCGGGTCCGTTAATTGTCCGGTATTCTTTCCCTAGGAGTGCTGTCTCTGCAACTTGAGAGGGGGTGCCCTTAAGCAAACTCAGAACAACAAGTAAGTACGACACCGATTTGGTTGCGCGTTCTTGTGTTTCCTTTCTCCTTCCTGGAACACTGAACCTCTGGGTGACAGTTTGCTCTACCTCCCATTATCACACACATGGCCCCAGAGCTTTGATGTCCAGGTCTGAGGTTGGCTTGCCGTGTGTGTCTTCAGAGACCACTTTCTGACATCACTTTCACCTCTGCTGGGTGAGGGGATTCTTGTCTTGCTTCTGTTCTAGGTCTTTGACACAATAAGAAATAACCCACCCCACCCCCCTCATTTAGTAAAGAACAGAGTTTTTAAAATGAAGGCAGCCAATATCATCCAGGCCCTGTTAGAATCCTAGGGTTTAAAATGATGTTATTAGAATCCTGTTTGTCTAATAAAAGCAGGGTATATCTGAAAACAGTGAAATCTGTATCTCTAGATAAATCAATCATAGTCAGACATTAAAACACAACCATTTACTTTTAACACCAGTGAATTAACAAGAAAGTATGTGCACTAAGATAGAAAGGATGGGAGAAAACATTGATTTTTAAGATTTAAAGGG